TGGACCTAATGCACTCCCATCTTGAGATCGAAGGGCTACCTGATGGGCGTAGGTTTAGTATATCTCGAGAGAGAATATTAAATAAAATTGGAAAGACCTCARYTTATGGRAATGACAAATAATCTTGGTTAATCGAACCCATCAATATTCATTGCATTGGTTAGGTGGACCAAAAGCCCTAGCGATTCTATCCATTGCAGATTCGATTAGTGATCACCTTTGCTTTTATTTTCTTATGCAAATTTTTATTTTCAATAGTTCTTGCTCAAATCTGAATTTCGTTTGTCTAGTTAATTAGGGATGGTTGTGGTTCTAATACTTATTTTGTTAAATCCCCGTGGGAACGATATTTTATACTACTTGATAACTAGTACACTTGCTAAGGTTATAATCATAGCTATCACTGATTGTGTGTTAACTTAAATTGATTTGGGTTTTGACAAGCATTTGATTAATTGAATCAATTTTGTTTATGTGAATGCTTGTGATGTGCTGAATGTGATTCGTACATGGGCCATAAGTACTTGGCCCTTGTTTAATCCTATGTGGCTCTCTGTGAATACCATGGCTGAATGCACATCATTTCCATGATGTACACAGATCTTTGGATGATCTCCCTTCTCAATAGGCCCCATGATTGCATTCCTCCCAAAAAGGAACCCTACGAAACCCTAACTTGTTTTGGGCCCATTTGAATCTGACTTTATGAAAGTCAATGGGAGCAACTTTGGTATGACCTAAACTAGACCTAGGGACTATTTTAACTTGTTCCCTCCAGATTAATATAAGTGCAAGTGATAGGGAATATCATATGATGAATTCTTTAAAGGCCTTCCATCATTAGCATGAAGGTGGGGTGAATCGGTGGGTGGAAATGCACCATAAAGTTGGGCTATCCATTTGCTAGGCTAGTTCGTTGGATTGCTTCATAAGATGATAGGGGAATCATAGACCGATGTGGGAGAGGCCTATCCAAAAATGGAAGACTCTTTTAGGGTACCGTGGGGTCCATGATATGATGGATCAATACTTACTAGATAGAAAGGTTTAACCTAAAATGGCAATGAACCTTGTCTAATAGAAGCCAAAGGGAAAGCTCATTGGATGGGTGGATATGATCCTTCACAAAAAGTGGCGGGGTTTTGTAGCTGAAATAGTTGGCTCCATGCACCTATGTGATTTCCATCATTTCTAGAGACATGCACCATGTCTCCGTCACTGAGATAGGAGGGAAATCTCAGAGATGAATAAATAAAGATGAAACATAGATAAAAGGCGTTTCTATGTAGATAACATGACTCAATTTTTAGGTCATGGATAAATATTTGTTGCCTTTTATCAAAAATGGCAAATGGACAATTTGCCAAATTGTTGGATGATAACAAACTTAAGGGACCCAACTATGCTGATTGGTATCGTATCCTTAATCTGGTTCTAACGTTTGAGAAATTGAACAAGGTTTCTATGATACTCTGGAATGTTCGGGTGACAAGGCTTCCGAGGCTTGCAGGAGGGAATATCAGGAATGGGTGGAGATGAATTCTCTTGCCCGGTGTTACATCGTAGCATCTTTGGATAATCAGATCCAGAGACAACTCGATAAGATCGAAGTCTCAAAAGACATTCTAGATAGTCTGAAGAATATGTATGAGGAGCATAATCATTCTAGCCTTTCAAAGGTCCCCAAGCTATTGATGACCATGCACATGACTGAGAGCCAACATGTCCATGACCACACCATGAAAATGGTGTGGTATATTAATGAATTGGATGCTCTTGGTGGTTCTTAGCTTGATGAAGACACTAAAATTGATGCCATCCTAACTCTCTGCCTCCCTCCTTCAATCTGTTTGTCATGAACTACAACATGAACAAGATAAAGAGGAAGGGCAAAGAACTGATTAAGAAGGACAAGCCGATAGCCATGCTTGTTGAAGGTGGCAAATTAGGCAATATCAAGAGGAAGGGCAAGAAGAGGCCTCAGAAGAAAGCGAGCAAGCCGAAAAAGCAAAAGAAAGACAAAACATCGGATGCATGTTACTTTTGCAAACAAACCGGACACAGGAAGTGGAACTGTACTTAATATCTGGAATCCAAGAAGGTAATTTCAAATTTTTTGTCATAGAGACCAATATGTTGGTCACTTCTGCATCTTGGTGTATTGACTCTGGGGCTTCTACTCATGCATGTAACACATTGTAGGTGTTCAAAGAAAGCAGAAGGCTGAGCGATGACGAGCTGATCCTTTACTTGGAGACTTCTACAACTGTTGTAGCTACAACCATAGAAACTGTAGATTTAATTTTTAGAGAAGGCATTGTGAGACTTAAAGATTGTCTTTATATACCCTCACTTAGAAAAAAAAATGATTTCTGTTTCAAAACTTTGCAAGGATGGTTATTTCTATTCTATTTAGTAATATGATTACTATTAAGTTGAATAACAAATTCCTTACCCACAGAGAACTTCAGAATGGTCTCTATGTCCTTTGTCCTTCTCTAGAAACAAACATAACCGAAACTACGTCATAAATTATCCCAAGAAAAGAACATGTGGTATGGTTAATCCCACGTGCTTGTGACATTACCAACTTGGCCATATTAATATAGATATATCACAAAGTTGGTAAAGGATGGTCCTTTGGATTTTCTAACTTGTGAACCATGCCTTTAGGGCAAGATGTCAAATAGCCATTTATGGGAAATCCTGAAAGATCTATGGGCACACTTGACCTGATACATACTGATGTATGTGGTCCCATGAATGTTAGGACACACAACTAGCACTGTTATTTTATAAATTTCACTGATGATTACTCTCGGTATGGTTACATATACCTAATGAGACATAAGTTTGAATCCTTTAAAAAGTTCAAGGAGTTCAAACAAGTTGTTGTGAAATAGTTGGGGAGACAGATCAAGGAGGTGACTATCCCTCCGACGAATTCAGGTACTACCTAAAGGACAATGGGATTGTGTCACAATTGTCACCTCCTGCTACACCACAATTAAATGGTGTGTCAGAGAGGAGAAGTGATGAAAATAAAAATTATCATATTTTTATCCTTAAATATTCACTCTTTTACACTTAATTAACACTTAATTGGACTCATTACTCTTGTATTTCGATTCAAGGCAAGAAAGAAGGCGACAGGAGGAAAACAAGGATAATCGGACGATTTTGCACAGTTTCGGCACTGTTCAGTAATCTAGGCATAACTCTCAAACCCTGACTCCGATTGGGATGATTCAAGATGCACCGGAAAGATAAGGGAGAACTCCACAACTTTTATGTTTTTGGTTTTGATAGATTCAGTCTGAATCGAGGTCAACATCGGGCCCAAAGTCGGAGCAAATTCACAGATAAGCCCAGCCTACAGCTGAAGCCCAATTCGCAGAAGAGCCTTGTAGCAGCCCAATTTATTGAAGAAGCCCAACTCAAATTCAAGAATAAAGAGTCCCATTAGATTTAAATTTCAAATGTATTTCTAGAAGGATAAGAGGATTGAGATTACTAGATAAGAGATAGGATAGGATTAGATCAAAACTGATTAGGACTTTCTATTWTTKAGGATAATYTCCTAAGAGGAGTTGGAGAGAGCCCCTCCTCCTAAAGCTATATAAAGTGGGAGGCGGACCAGCTTTAAGCATCAATCAAGAAATGAAGCAATCAAGCAAGCAAGCAGTCCATCCATATTGGAAGCAAAGCAAGAAGGAGACGACAACTATGAGCAGCTTAGCTTTTCTTTTCTGATTCAAGGGGGATTGTTGATTCGATTGTGTCATCGTGAGGTTATGTGTTTAATTTAATTTCTTGTTTTTAATTCAAGTATTCATTGATTCTTGTGCATGTTCTTATGGAAGTTAATGTTAATTAGTCTAACAAATTAATTAATGTTGATCTTCCTACTGCTATCCATGGTTCGATGATCCGTAATTCTCACGAATAGTGGTATTTTGGTTTGTGACAGCCTTTGACCAATGTATTGACATATTTTAACCAATGTATTGACATTGGTTGTTTGTGACAGCCTTTGACCAATGTATTGACATATTTTAACCTAAGGGGAATCAATGGAATAAGATTCGATAATTGCAGTTATCTCAACTATTGTTATTTTGGTTTAACTATTTTCACAAAGGTTATTGCTATCATTAATTGATAGCTCGAGAGACTAGCTCACGAACAAGTAAAGACTTAGGTTGAGGATGTGAGTGTGGAAGTATTCCAAAGTCTGAGAGAGATCTTCTCTTTTGCCTCAAGGGCTTTTATAGGGGAGTTACTATCAAATCGAGTGTAACCGCCACTAGGCCTCTGCCGCAGCCGTTACCTGCCAGGGCTGCACAGGTGATCGTTGCAACGTACTTCTTGCTCGGATGAATGACACATCTTAAAGGGGCAGGCACACTTTCGCCTACTGAGAGACGTGGGTGCAGACTGTCGAAAGGACAGGGACTGCGTTGTCAGTTAAGAGATGTGGTGCAGACTGATCGGTACGGTTTGTCAGGTAGAAGCTTCCTGAGAAACGTCTGCGCTGCTCACTCGCGAGCTACTTTGTAGCGAGCTTGGGAATACTTCGGGGTTACCCTTACTAAGGATGTTCTCTAGGCTGCCTTATCCACTCGGGGGCTGGAGCGAGATGGTTTCCCTAGTACGCGAGCTAAAGTGGTCTTGGAGTATCCCCTTCTGGGTAGCTCGGGGAACCTGGATCTCGTGTTGTAGCGAACTCCTCCTACAGCGAACTATGATATAGCGAGCTGCTTTATGGGCTCGTCACTTAGCTGCGGTCAGGCTATGATTCTGAGTTGTTGCCCATGCTGAGTCAGGGCCACGTGTCATCATTTCATAGGTCGGGTCAAATCATCCTCCATCAATTGCCCCCCACTCCTCGAGCTAAGAGTGTTGCCTTAGTGCAAGGAGTTCATGAAGTATGATGGACTGATCTGATCAAAATTTAAACTTGATTGACTGCTCACATTAAATGCGTTCGTGGGAATCAGGAGATTTTCTGACCATTCATATTCCGAAAATGTGCTGAGGTGGCCTTTAACTTCGGATGTCGTGCAATCGTCGTTACATCAATCATGGGAGACGTGCAGCCAATCGCTTTTCGGTTTCAGAAGGCGTGCGGTCAGTACACCTGCGAACCGTCAGATCTGCCTTAATCCGGGCCGTTGATTCGGAGACACAAAGTCTATAAATAGGAGGGCCCTCTAGGTCTCACTTTCTCACGCCATCTTGCTGTCTTCGGATTCTGAGGTCGCGCATCTATCAAGTCTACTCGAGTTCCTCGCTTTACTTCATCCCATCCTTTTTGGTGAGTCTCGATCACTATCAGTCATGTCTGGGTACCCATGCTATAGTCGCCACCGGGGCGGTGGCTAGGATGATGATGCTCCCTCGAGTTCGGGGGGAGCTTGGGAACAGGGCCAAGGGGCCCGGGAGACCTCCAGCGATGGTGCCTCCACTTCCCGTAGAAGGGAGCCTGATACTTTTGGCCCTTCCTCTATGATAGAGGGGAGGCTTAGGTCTTTAATCAGCTATTTCCACCTCCCTAGGGACCCTATTTACTGCCTTCCCACTGGTAACTTTCCGTGGGAGCATGGTCCCAACGAGATAGTTATCTATCAGGAGCAGCTCGAGGCTGGCCTGCGTCTCCCCCTGCACCCCTTGATAGTGGAAGTGCTAAACCACTTTAACGTCACTATCAATCAGCTTCATCCCAATGCCATTCAGAACATGGTTGGGACTATATCCTTGTGCTGTGAATACTGTCTTCCTTTGAACCTTGACATTTTTTCTACTATCCTCTGTATAAAAAATGCCACTCCCGGGTCCCCACCGGAGAGGCATCTCTACTACTTCTCTCACCGCCGTGGCTACAAGCTCTTATATGAGCTTCCGAATAAAATTCCTGCCTGGAAGCGGGATTATTTTTTGGTCCGCAACCCTGAGGGGTGGCCCTTCCCTACTTCTTGGAGGGGCACCATCCAGGATTCTGGGGTCGAGCTGGACCCTGATACTCAAAAAACAATGCTGTCCTAGGCATCAGTTGGATTCCTCTATTCGGATGGCTTGACTGAGGAGAAGCTCGTGCAGGTCAGCCTGAGCTCGGGTAGGTTGCCTCTTTAGATCGCGTAGTACCTTGTCACAATGTTGTGTATATACATATTCTTTGTTCTTAGCGAACTAATACCTTATGGTTTCTCCTTGGCAGCCATCATGTCTGGTGTTGATTCGCATCATCTTCTGTCAAGCAACCAGAAGTGCAAAGTAAAGAGGTCGCGCCCCGACCAGACTCCCCCCTCTAGGGGTATTGAGTTCGGGTCTGCTGAGCCGGGCTTCACCTCTCCGCCGCCTGAAGATCCACCGCCCCCATCTGGTGGAGGGTCTGGCAGGGCCAGCCTCGAGGTGGGCAAGCTCCCGCAGCAAGAGGTAGTCCCCCCTAGTTCTTTTCGGTCGTTTCCCTATCCACGGCTCCTAGTGGGGAACTGGGAGGGCATAAACGACTTCGTCGTGGTTCATCGGAGGAGCCAAAGAGCGATCAGCAATGAGGAGGTTGTTAAGTGGGGAGCGATGGAGCCTGGGGATCTTGCCGCGCTTGCCACCTCTCACTGTATGGTGGTAAGTGGTCCTTCTATCCTCCTTCGTCCTTCCTTCCTTTTTGCTGCTCGTTTGACTCTAGTCTCTTGTTGGCAGGTAAACACCGCCATACATGCCATGGCCCTCCAGACGCATGTCCACTCCTGTGACGCTCATAACCAGAAGGTCAACATTCAGAAGCTTCAGG